TCCTCTCTGCCATTGCGCCACCTTCGAACATACGCCGCCAGGCAGCCACACCCCTGCCGACGCACTCACGTAGGCAGCGATCGGAAAAGCGCGCCCCCCCCCTCGCCCAACAAAGACCCAGCCTGCTCGGCGCTGATTGGCCTTCTGCTCCGGCAAGAAGTCCGGTCCTTTGGCGGTCGCTGCTGGCGCTGACTCCCCGAAGAGGTACCCTTGCCCCGCGCCCGGGCAGCACGCGCGCCCCCGATCGGCCCTTTGTCCTTGCTCCTTGCCTACTATAACCGGCCCGACATGAAGCCTGACACAACCTCCCCAGGCCCCAATGGCCAAACCCCCCGGGGGATCTACTCTTTCCGCTCCACCCTCACCTGGCCAGCCTGGCCGGGAGTCTGACGCCTCTCCTCGCCTGGACTGGGAAGACCTCGGACCGCAGGCCCCCCTGGACCGGAAGCACTTGCCGCCCTCCTTCGACACCGGCCTGGCTACCGAATCCACCGAGAGCGTGGTGCATCTGGGCATCGAGCCGGCAGGAAGCATGACTGGCCCGTCCCGGAGCGCCGGGGGCTCGACCCGCCGATCAGGCACCGGGGCCCAGAAGGCCACGCCCCTGCCGGAGAGTGGCCTCCCGTTGACCGACGCCGGCCCCTTCGGTGATGACGAGCACAGCGGCACCGAGTCGCCGGCCTCGCGGCCGGACAGCCCGGACCTCGGGACCGATTCGCCCGGCGGCCCGGGGGTCGAGGTGGGCGCCCTGCTGAGCCCGAGCCGCCGGGAATTGTCTCCGGGCCAATCGCCCACCTCCTCGGGGGACCTTTCCGACCAGGATAGCACTGACCGCGCGCCGGACGCCTCGACCACCGGGCTGGTGCCCAGCCGCGGAGAGGCTTCCAGCCGCGGGGAGGCGTCCTCCTGGTCTTCCACTTCGCCGCTGGTGTCACCGGTCGGCGCCGGCATCGGGGCCGCCGCCTCCGGCGACCGGCCCTTCTTCTTCACGGCCGCCGGGCCGAGCTCCCCGGCGCTGATGGCCACCGGCGGCGACACGGACATGATGTCGCTCATCTCGCCGCAGCTGGGGCCCGTGGTGGCGGGCGGCCCGCGGCGCAGTCGCTTCCAGCCAGCCCCCGGGGCCGCGGTGCACAGCGCCTGGGCCGGGCAAAAGGCCGGCCGGAGCACCACCGCCCCTGGCCCGGGGGATGGCGCCGACAGCACCGAGCACAGCGACAGCACCGAGGACGACGAGGAGGAAGACGACGACCACACCACCCATAGCAGCGACAGCGATGACAGCGATGACAGCAGCAGCAGCAGCAGCAGCAGCAGCAGCAGCGACGACGACGACGACGATGATGATGACAGCGGCGACGAAGGCGAGGCTCGGCCCCGGCGGTCGCGCCATCGTCGGGCCCCGGGCCAGCGAGCTCCCTTCAAGCTGCAGCAGTTTACCCGCGTCCGGGAGATTGAGATCAGCAACGGACGAACCACGCGCCGGACGCTGCCCACCCGGGGGGACCCCTCGGATGGGGGGCCCCTCCGCATGAAAACCATCGAGCACACTACCCCGGAGCTGAAGGCCCTGCCGAACATGAGCCCATCCCTCAGCGCGGCGTCCGGGTCGCCGGCGCTGCGGGCGCTGCTGGTCGGGGGCGGCCCATCGGGCAGTCTGCCCGGCTCGCCGAGGATGACCCCGACCATGGACCAGATCCCGGACAGCCCATTCTACGGGGGGCCGCGGAAGCTGCACCGCCTGGCGGCCGATGCCCCGAGCCCCATGTCCTCGACTGACTCGGTCCGGCTGGGGGCCCGGGCGGACGGCCGGTCGAGGCGCGATGGGGCCGGGCAGCCGGCCCGCCCGGACCGCCGCCCCTTGATGGCCCTCTTGGCGTTGGCAGCCTTGGCTTTCGGATATTGGTGGCGCTCGCGTGTGGGCGAAGCCCTGCTCGCCGGCCGCACGGTGTCCTGGGCGGGGCTGAGTGACAAGTTCCCCGGGGCGGAGCTGGCCAGCGTGGCGGTCGCCGGGCCGGCGGCCCTGCTGGCCCGGGTGGACCCCGGCGCCCTGCCAAGCTTCTATCCCCTGGCAGACCACTGGCTGCGGCAGCAGAATGGCCTCGACGAGGCGGTGGCCCGGTTCCAGGGCAATGTCACGCGCTTTGCTGAGGCGAGCGCCGCCGGCATGGGCGACGGGGCCGCGAAACCGGGGGCCCCGACGCCGAGCGCCCGCCCGGCGATCGGCCAGCTGGCCAGCTGGTCGGTGCTGGTGCGGGACACGGCCCACCGGCTGGCTGCCGAGCTACGTGCCACGCAGGAGGCCGACCACGGCGAGGGGGCCGGGCTGGACCCGGAGGTGGCCGCCCAGGCGACCATCCTGGACGCGCTTGCCCGCCTCGGCCTGCCGGACGACGACATGCCCGCGGCCGGCGGCCCGGGCAGCGGGACCGCCGGCACCGGGGTCCCCACCTCCGTGTATAGGGCGGATGTCGGCGGGCGCTACCGCGTGGTGTATGCCGCGCGGTGGGCCGATTGCCGGGCATACTCTCGGGCCTGCAATGCCGCCGAGTCACGCGCCCCGAGCACGGTCCTGCTCTTGTCCAACGCCCTGGCCACCGCGGCGACGGCGGCGGCGGCCGAGGCGTCGACGACCTTCGTCACCACGCCCAGCCTGGAGCGCTTCATCTTGCGCTCGTGCGACCCGCTGGGAGTCGCATGGGGCGGCATGGGCTCGGCCAGCCTGTTCGCCGGGCGCCCGCGGCCGGCCACCGAGCGGGGCTGGCTGGCTGGCGGTCTGGAAGCCGACGAGGCGGAGGCCCTGGCAGCGGAGGCCGGGCAGGCGGCGCGCGCGGCGCGGCACACCCCGGCCGGCGGCCACACCCCCGACACCGAGGATGAGGACGACGAATTCGCCATCCCCCCGGTGCAGCGCGGCTTCCTCGGCGATGAGGCCGAGGCGGGGTTCATGCGCCGGACGCTGGCCGCCGACTTCGACGGGCCCATCTTCGATGTGGTCATGCCGCTGCGGGTGGAGCTGCGCGACCGGCCGGGCAAGGCGCTGCCCCCGGAGGAAAAGGCCCGGGCCGTGCATTTGCTCCTGCTGGATCTCGGCCTGGGCGAGCCCCGGCGCCGGGGCGCCCACGAGCTGGCCTCGCGCCTGGACCGCGAGCGCCTGGACCTGCTGGCCGGCCGCGGGCAGGACCCGGCCACGGCCACCGGCGACGCGGCCCCCCCCGCCGGCAAGGATGCCCCTGCCCGGCCGCCGCCGCCGGAAGACCCCTATGCAAAGGTGTATGCGGCCCGGTCGCAGGATGACCGGTATTTCCATCGGAGTCGCTTCGACCAGCGCCTCGGCCGTCGGGTGACCATCCTGCCGACGGGCGGGCTCTTCGCGCCGTCGGGCCCCCGGCCCTCCAAGGGGCCGACCGTGCACCCGGAAATCCGCCTGATGGCGGGGGTCTTGGCGGCCGTCCGGGACACCGAGGCCCCGGCCCTGACGGCGGCCAATGCCCCCGGCTACCGGTGGCTGCCGACCGGCAGCGCGTACGAGGGGGCCGGCATGCTGCAGCAGACCCCGTCCGCCACCGGGGTCCGGGCCCTGCTTCTGCCGCCCTGTGCGGCGCCCGCTGCCCCGGGGGGAGACCGGCTGGCACGGGCCCTGGGCCTGTGCCCGAATGGCCCGGAGCCGGCGGGACCTCAAGCGCCGGGAGCGGCCCCGGTTGAGGTGCACCCGGGGTCGGGGCAGTTCCTGGGCCGCCCGAGCGCCCTGGTCTCGACCGGAGGTGGGCGCCTTCGCCGGGCGTGCATCTTCTGGGGACTGTGTGCGGACTCGCGCGCGGCCGCCGTGTCTCGTCTGTGGGAAGAGGCCCTGGCACCGGGCGCGCTGGCCGGCCTGCCGGAGGATGCCCGGCCGGCCGGGAGCCTCGCCGGGACCGATCTCCGTCGAGTGCTCCTGTCGCTGGTCGTCACCAGTGCCGATGCCCTGTTCGAGGAGCATTGCGCCCGGGCCGCCGAGTCCCAGTGCAACATTTTGGAGGTACGCGGAGGCTTTTTTTTTTGCTCGGCCCCCGGCATCTGCTTCGCACGTTGCTAACCGAGCTCCTTGATGGATCCCCCCCCCGGCGATGGGCTGGCCGGCCGCCGGCGTGCGTGCATATGAACGGGTGCGGGGCCGGGGCACATCTGCTCCAGTTCGAGTCGCCGATCGCCGTGGCTAGCGCCATTGTGGAAAAGCTGGCCGAGCGCATCCTCCAGCAGATGGCCCGGCCAGAGCCGGCCCCGAGCACCGAGCGCTCCAACCTGTCAGACGACGTGATTCTCGGTACATGCTGCCCGCCCCCTTCTTCTCGGCATATCGCCGGTTGGTGTTGCTTTCTGTCGTGCCACCGCGGCCTGCTCGCTTCCAGAGCCAGGGCCGCCGCCGATGCCTCGCCCCCCGCTTCCTTGCAGCGTGTCCCCGTCTGCTCATACGCCGGATAGTGCGGCCCCATGCTAACCCGTGCCTGCTCGTGGTGCTGCCCCCCATGCACACGCCCCCGACCCCGCCACCGGGCCAGACATCCTCACCAATCCGATCCACCAGCCGATGGGCCTTTTGTCCCTCGGCCCGGGCGCCGACCGCCTGGCCATGACCCAGGCTGGAGGCCAGCCGCTGGCCGACGAGGTGGCCCTCGGCGTGATGAACTTCCACCGGCAGATTGTGGAGTTCGCCGAGCGCAAGCGCTGGGTCTACTTTGTCCGGTCCACGCGCAATCCCTTCCTCTGGGACCGGATTGTGGATGGCGACCCGGCCAAGGCCAACATTCGCGAGGACAATGGCGATGACCTGTGACAGGGCCCCTCCCTGGGGGGGGGGCGGGGGCGGGGGGGGGACTCATGCCGGCCCACACCCGGTCTGCATATGCTGGAATGACCGGACGTGCAGCATGCATTGATTGTCCCCCCGCCGCCGCGCCTACACACGACACCCTTTGCCGAATACATCACAGCCGCATGCCGCCCACTCGGGCCGCCACAACAGGCGAGAGCCACCACGGTGAGAGGGCGAAACCGGAGGGGAAGCCGGTGCCGGGGCTGCCCAGGCGGTCCGAGTGCCCGGTCGCCCATCGTGCAGGGGGGGGGGGGGGGGAAGGGGAAGGGGAGGAAGGAGGGGGCTTCTATTCGGCGGCACGTGCCGGCACGCGCCATGACGGCAAAACTGGGCGAAGCGCCAAAATGAACATGGCCAGCGCAGGGTGTGGGGCTACCCGGTCACGAGAGACCCGGGCCCCGGGTGGAAGAGAGCATTCTCGGCCGGGGGGGCGCCAGAGGCGACTGAAGCCCCAGGGCTGGGGTTTGGGCTCAGGAGAGTACCCCCGGGCACCGGACCCGGGGGAGCCATCTTCCAAGGCCCAGACCCGGGATCCGCTCCAGGGGCGGATGCCAGAGAGGGCACATGTGTCGATCCGAGGGACGCACCCCCGGTCGGGCCGCTCGAAGATGCGTGGGTCGAGCCAGCCAGTCGCGGCGAGGTGGACGCCGCGGTCCCCCCGATGCCCAGGCTGACATTGCTCCCGGCACCAAAGTGGTGCTGATAGTGGGCATACGGGAAGCCGCCCAGGGCCCCGGGCGACCGAGCCGCAGGGATGGCCGGGACAGGCGCGTCGCCCGGCGTGCTTTCCATCGGCGGGGGGTACTGTTGCGGCGGAGCGAAGGGGACCGGCGGCCCGCCGGCCATGCTCTGCGACAAGGGGAGGGGCGGCGGCGGCGGCAGGACCGCCCCCCCGGTCAAGAAGGGGCTCGAGGAGGCCAGGATATAGGGCGACGAGGCGGCGGTGGCGGCTGTCGAGCCGCTGAGGCCGCGTGCGGCGGAATAGGGCGACCCGGGCGCCCCGACAGCGAGGGCCAAGCCCGCCGGCGTGGCCAGATCCGGCACTGCCGGGGTCCGCCCCGCGGACAAACCCTCGGTGGCGGATGGGGCGGACGACGGGCCAACGGCAAAGCTGACTGACCCTGGGAAGGCGACAAAGAAGGGTCCAGGCGGGCAAGCGAGGGGGGAGAGAGAGGGAGAGGCATGTGCACGCGGTAAGGAAGGGGCTCCGGGGCAGGGGGCGTTGCAGGGGACGCTACAGGGGGGGGGGGAGGAGAGGCGAGGGCCCGGGCGTACCGGCATGGGACTGCTCAGATAGGTGCACGCCATTGCCGTGGCTTTCGTTGAGCATGCCACGAAGAACGGCCGCCAGGGCGACCGGCGACACGGCCCGGCCAAAGGCCATCATGGCCGTGGGGAAATCCCCGGTCAGCAGTGCAGCCAGCAGGACACGCGGTGCGGCGGCCAGCAACCGCGCGAGGCTCAGCACATGCGAGGACATCGGCGCCACGGGGATATACTCGCTGGCCATGGCTGCCAAGAGGCTTGGATAGGCCCGGAGAAGCTCGGCCAGCGGCGTGGCAATGGCACTGCCGACCGCGGCAAAGGGACTGGCCCCCAGGGAGGTGCCGGCCCCGGGCGTGGACCCCCGAAGCAGGCCCCTTGTCCAGGCTACCAGGGCATCTATGCGCCGGGCAATCCGACGCATAAAGTGACGACTGGCGGTGCGCCGCCGCCGCGATGGGGTCCCCTCGACTCCGGGGAAGGAATTCAGGCGCATGACCAGCCCATCAAGGCGCCGCGGCCCGAGGAGAATGGCCCCGAGGTACCGGCCGCGGGCCAGCAGGGCCAAGCTCAGCTCCGACCCGGCGGCCAGAGCGTCAAACCGGCTGACGGTGAGGGTGCGCTTCTGGCGCACGCGCTGGGCTTCATTCACCATTAGGCGCCCGGCTCCAATGGCATCTGCCAGGAGGATGATCAGTGCCGCGCCGAGGAGGGCCCCACTCAAGAGAAGGGCCCCCCCGGTGCCGTGGGTCCAGCCCTCGGCCTCGGCGGCAAAGAAGCATACGGGCGCCAGGAGCACCAGCGCCAGGGCGCGGGCTCGGTCGGCGTAGTAGTCAAAGGAGCTGTGCGCCAGGCGAGTCGACTAGAGGGGGGTGGCAAATGGCCAGAGTGGCTGGTTAAGGGAGGCAGGGTGGAGAAGGAGCGAGGGGGGCGGGTGGAGCTCAAGGGAGAAAGAGCGCAAGGAAAATGAGGAAGGCTCACGCACCGGCAGAGTAGTCAGGCGCAGACGACAGGCAGCCGAAGCGACAGCCACAAAAGCCAATTGTGACAGGAGAAAGTAGCCAGGAACTGCGTCGGCTAAGGTCCGCAACAGGACCAGAACGGCCAAGGCAAGGAACCCGCCACACACCAAGCTGGCCAAGGCGCGGAAGTGGGGCTATTTCGAGGGGAGGAGACAAGTGTTGAAATGGGACAGGATTGTTCGGGTAAGTGTGAGTGTGAGCATGTGTGTGTGTGAGCATGTGTGTGTGTGTGTGTGTGAGCATGTGTGTGTGTGTGAGCATGTGTGTGTGTGTGTGAGCATGTGTGTGTGTGTGAGCATGTGTGTGTGTGTGTGAGCATGTGTGTGGGTGTGAGCATGTGTGTGTGTGTGTGAGCATGTGTGTGGGTGTGTGTGAGCAAGTGTGCAAGCATGTGTGTGTGAGCATGTGTGCAAGCATGTGTGCAAGCATGTGTGCAAGCATGTGTGCAAACATGTGTGCGAGCATGTGTGCGTGCATGTGTGCGTGCGCCGAGGAAAGGGTATGCAACGGACCGTATGGCTAAAGCTGGCATGCGTCATGGACAGGGAAAACCGATACACGGCGAAGGGAGCCCCAATGAACAGGAGCAGCGTCCCGGAGATATACATCGACGCCGAGACGAGAGCCATGGCCACAAGGGGGAAACTGTCCGCCAGAGGAGCGAGGAGGGAGGCCATGACAAGCAGGTTAGGAGCCGGGCCACCGAGCGAGGGGGGATCCTCGAGAGGGGGGGGGGGCAGGTCCAACGCACAAGAGCACATCCAGGGCCGAAGGATGGACATATTGGAAGAAGGTGTCCATCGGGAAACGCCGGATCGCCAGCGACACACTCTTCTGCGAGGATCTGAGAGGGAATTCGTCAGAGCGGTGTGAAAGCAGAGAAGCGACCAGGAAGCCCGGAGCCGAAGGGCAGAGCAAGAGAGTGGGAGGGAGAGACGAAAGGACAGCAAGGAAGGGCGCGCTCCAGAGGACGTACAGCCGGAAGGACATCTCCAGCAACAGGCAGAGGACCAGTGTCAGGCTGGAAAAGCGGTGCGGACTAAAGAGGACCGCAAGCACCATGGTGAACAACGGAACGGGTAGACCCCCGGACAGCCTGCTTGGGGGGGGGGGGAGCAGAGCCGGGAGGTAAATGCTCCAAAGGCAGGGGGAGAGATATAGGGGGGGGAAAGAGAGGGGAGGGAGAGGAGGAGAAAGTGGGGATGAAGATGGTGTGGGGAAAGAAAGGGGCCAAGGAGGAGGGGAGTAGATCTCTCCCTTTTATTTTTCCCAACTCCCCCGAGGGGGATGCCATCTACAGCGACCAAGCTCCCGAAATATCCATCACTTGCTCGTCGCACCTTCACCCCCCAGAAGAAGAGTCCCACCATCCTCTCCTCCCCGTCGGGGGGGGGGGAAGGGGGCGGCTGGCTAGCTAAAAAGAAAGGAAAAAAAGCGCAGACGTGATCGGGCAATCGGGCCAGCCGAATCCCATGGTGGCTGGCGATCGCCATCCCAGCCTCCTTTCCCCGGGCTCGGAGGCCGAGTTGGGATCGGGCCCCACGCTCGCTCGTCAATCGGCCCTCGCCCCGTCAGCGTGCGTCGGACGGCCAGCAGCCCTGCTCAAGCGGACCGTGCCTCGGCTCGGTCCCCCCCCCCCCCTGGCATCCCTCCCTGCGCCTCGGCCCGCCCCCTCCCCAGCCAGCCGGGGCAGCCGGGGCTTCTCCCCACGGGTGTGCGGCTTCCTGGGCAGATCTAAAAGCAAGCGGAGATCCGGCCGCACCCCGGCACAACACGGCCCAGGGCGAGTCCCGGGAGTGTCAAGCATGGCAAGCCGGCCAAAGGACGTGTGCGCTTTTCGGGCGGGAATTGCCCAGCCGCCGAAAAGGGGGCGCCGCGAAGCTCCCTGCCAACGCACGCGCGGACGACGGGATTAATTGCCTGGTGCCGACGGAGCTCGCGTGATCCCGGGGCTCTGGACCCTAAGTTAAGTGGGACAGACAGCCCAGAAGCGCCCGGGGTGCTGGTGTTGTGCCGGAGTGAAGTTAAGCGCGGCCCTGACACCGGCCACATGTAACCCACAACCGGGCATTCAGCACCCCTCTGTCTTTTCGCCTCGCCGCACCTCGCCTTGGGTGACCATTCGTGTCGGCTCGCCACGCGCCACATAGAGCCACCAATTTTTACCACGCACACACACGCGCCTACACGCACACACGCGCCATGAATCCATTAAAGCCCGCGGCATCTTCCAAAGCAAAGCCCAGCTCGCCGACCGAGCAGCAGGCTCACTCTCCTTCGAAGTCGGAGCTCGGGAAGAGCGCCACAAGGCAGCCCGAGCAGCCGGCCGTGGCGGGCATACGGCTCGGCATCGCGGCGTCCCCGAGGAGAGATGCTCCAGAGGAGGCCGCCACGCGCCACACCCGGCCACAGCTTCAGGCCCACTCAAACGACGAGAATGCCGAGCCGCCTGTTTCGGTGCCCCCACCGGAGGCCAAGCTGCCGGAGGAACTGCTACTTCCGTCAAGCACGACTCCCTCATCCGTGCCCCACTCCGGTTCGGATTCCAATCCCGACTCCGATCCCAAGCCCGATCCCCAGGGAGCCCGGATGCTGCAGCCACTTGCACCGGAGGCCCATGCCGCACAGGCACCCACATCCCAGATCGAGCCCATGAGCGACCGGTCCTCGCACGGGCTATCGTCGGTCAGCTCGTCCGAGCGGATGGTCATTGACCATATGAAGAAGTTGCAGCCCGGCTCGCCACAGTCGGTGCGACCTCGCGTGGTGGCGCCGTCCTCGGTGGTCAGGCATGCGGCTGCCCTGTCGGCGGCCTCGTCGCCCCCGACCTCGTCGCCCTGCCACTCGGATGTCGAGCCGGCGGGCACGGATGCCTTTGGGACGGTCACCGGCGCCGGCGCGGCGGCAGCCGTGGCAGCGGTACTGGTGCCCCCGTCGCCGGCTTTGCTGACGACCTCGGCCCCGGAGGAGCCCTTGCGCCGGCGGGCCAACGGTGAAAAGCATCCCTCCATCATCATGGAGCTGCTCAAGCAGCTGAAGGTCGGCATGGACTTGCACAAGATCACCCTGCCGGCCTTCATCCTCGAGCCGAAGTCCCTGCTGGAGAAGATTTCCGACTACATGTCCCATCCGAAGTTCATCATCAAGTGCGTGAGATGAAGGGGCGCTGGAACGGTGGCAGGCCGCCCCTGGCAACCCGGGGCTGTGGCAGGGGGGCATTTGACGCGATGGGTGGAGGGGGGGAAG